GGCCTGCTTGAATTAGTAAAAGAATTAGGACTAGTAAATACACATACTGGCCCACACAATCCACGAAATACTAAAATTCGAAATTCTGAGGAATGTGTTCGTGTTTACAGTCCCTCCGCAACACTTCGGGTTACATAAACTAGCTGATCTTCCACATTGGCTAATATTCAATGCTGCCGAAGATTAGGCGACAAAAGTGACAGATGCAGTCGATCAACTCTGCGAACTCCTCACAATTAACCCAAAAATTAAGAACCGGAAGATTTATATTAATAACAACAAATATTTTCAAGCTGAAACTAACTTTGCAGACGATGAAATTTCTATGCAGCATTTTCTGTGGACCTAGCATGGAGATTATACCACAATACATTTACCTGCATAACACATACATATGTATGTAAGCAACCCAGGTATTTAATTTTTATAGAGGGATCCCAAAACGGCTGCCAGAATCATCGTTACGCTAGTCTCCCTACGAAAAAACCAAAAAAGGTTCCTCCTCCAACAGTTAAAGTTATACATTATTTCCATCATAAGTGACACTAGGCGAAGAAGATGATTTGGAGTTGCAAGTACAAAATTATAAAGTTCCCTCCAAACTTCGGCTCTGAATCCGCCCCTGAACTACTGCTGACTGCGAGGTACTAAAAAAGCAATTTTACATATGCGAACATGCATGGAATATATAATATCTTGTTAGCAGCTATGCTCGCCCCAGCGCATCAATTAATGAATTCGAAAGCTTCCTCCTGGAGCTGTATAATAGCCGATAATAATAGACTTTAGTGCATGGTCTAATGCTTGGGATAGCATAAGTACAAATAATCGTGGGCGTCTTATTCTACTATACTTGAGCGAAAGGAACCTTACGAAAATAAATAGTGGCACGAAAAGCTCCTATCAAAAGGAAAATAAAGGTTCCATAACAGACCTAATGTTTGCTCTCGACACACGTAGCAGGCATTAAGTGGAAGGTGTCAGACCTGTACACATACAGTGATCACATGATCACTATTGCCGAAGTTTTGTTCTCCCGAGAAACTGAAACTCTCTGCACAAACATTACTCCAAACCGAAGTTGGAGACAAAAGGAGCTGTATAGGGACATTTTTGAGAGTCTGAAAAACAGCAAAGGCAACTGGCGAAGGTGTCATCCACATAGTATCCGCATTGCAGAAAGAGCTAGTCAAAACGAGATACCTTAACAAGCGAAAATAGTGGCGGAACGAAGAAACCGTCACACTGAAAAAACTATGCCACTCAGCTAGACATCGTCTACAGCACAACCAGGATGGTGAGAACGAAAGTCGCTTCAGAACAATTTCTAAAACCTAAACAAAGGTCCTGGAAACAGCCATTAATCGTAGCAAAAGATCGTGTTTCGAAAAACTTTGTGAAGAAGCAAACATAGAACCACGGGGAAACACTTACAAAATATGTATGACGAAGAAATAGTTCAGAAATAAGTCTCCGCAGCCAAATAACTCATCGATTATGAGGAAAGTTGTCGATTCTTTATTTACAACGCATGACCCCTTTGTTGTTGTTTAGTTCAATTTTGTAAGATAATTTTTTATGCTTGCATAATTTGGAAGCCGACAGCTGTATCAAGTGTATCGACGAGGTCAAAGTAGAAATAATAGCAATAAAACGTCACATGATTATTCTTGATTACTGTCTACGGATCAAACTCCGCCCTCGCTCAATTAAAAGCCCGTCGAAATATCTCCGGAATCAATATATATCCGCTTGCTTTGACCAAGGTGTACCCTACAAAAAACTGTCAGATGCAATACCACCTCATAAGCGTATCCTCTTTTTTCTTAATTGGCAGTTTCTATGGCTTCTCACTCACTCACTCACTCCAACCTCTGGAAATGTAATATCTTTTTCTCTTTGGCTAATGTCTCGAGAACCAAAATGAAATGAACAGCAAAATAAGAGTTTCTTTTTCGATCAACTATCTGTTTGGATTGGGATCATAGCGGAATTGGTCTTAGATGAGCATATGTGATGGGACAGATAAAGCTTAATCAACTTCATATATGATGAAAGTTAACTGTCTCTCAATGAATTATCTTAGGTGTCATTTTATAGGACATAATGAACGTGGAGTGTGGAGCAGGATGTCAGATATCGCTTTTCGCTTTCTTATGTCCCTAGAAGTGTGATTTATACGAAAAAGTTCCAACAGATATCAGATAAAGAATAAGATAGTCAGAGTGACCCTTATTCATCCCGCTCTTCTCCCATACCTTATCTATTCTAGTCGTTTTAAAGAGGTCTGATTGATATTACTTCTGAACCTTTTTACATTGTATTCTTCCAAAAACAGCTATGCTTGACGAAGTCCAAACGTTTGCGTCTCTGATTAAATGTGGACCCAATATGGTTAAAGAATGCAGAATGGAATCCTGTCGGCTTGCATGCCCTGCTTCCTTAGCTAGATTGCCACCAATCTGTGACCTTTTTGTTGTGGTAGCGCCAGAAAGCAACCCTGAAGTAGCCGTTCCCACGATAGTCGGGTCTTCGTAGCCGCTATAACAGCAACAACAATCTCTGAATTAATTTGAATCAATTCAGCCAAGTTGACCGTCTTCGGCCAAATAAATAATCGTGTGCTTTCAGTTGACAGATCCCATTTCCTGGTCGGCTTCACACAATTTGCTGAGAACATCTTCTACACTTTACCCATTGCTACGCACGTATCAATTGGCGAACGTCGATTCCGCAAGGTGATCGCAGCAGCTAGCGCTCGGTTCATCTCGGCTAGAAGAATAGCGAAACTCCGCCCAAAATTTCCCTGCCGAAGCCGCCGTTTTAGCTAATAAGCGCAGCACCTTACACTATGCCGATCCCGGAATCCCCGAAAGGGGGGATCTCAATTTAGAGATTCGGCGATTGGTAAAACAACATAAGCGGACGAAATGGGAAGGGCACCTGAAGTCCTTCAACCTCTCCTCCTCTCCTCTGCGTAAGCTTTTGTCTATTGTCAAGACTTTGTCTAACCCGAAGAGACATGATGACCGACTTCAATCGAAGTTCAATTTAATGGCCAGGCCTCTTCTGACCCGAAAGAGTGCGCGAGCTACTTTAGTCGGCAATTCACACTGCACCCTTCGGTAGACAAAACTAAGCGATGTGTTACCCGACGGTTGCGCAAAATGCCAAAAAACTGCGCGCCTCTTATTTTCACCGATGAGGTGGTTCAAAATGTCATCAACAAAGAATTATCGCTCGATAACTCTCCTTTCCCCAGTAGTGAAGACACTTGAGGCCTTGAGACACCCGACCTTCCTCAACACCCCAGTACGTTCTTCTTTCAAAATGAAAACTGGAGTATGCTTCTTGCCTTTTGATATCCTACAAGATCTAATTGCCACGCGTAGTTTATGCAATTACCTACAATAATTTTAAATGCTTTGTTAATTTTGTTTTTTCCACAGAATTTGCATTTATTTGATATTCATAAAAACATGCAACATTACTGCATTTGAATGTTAAAAGTATGATGTGTTGTCATGTATGCAACAAACTAAAATTCTATTTGAACTAAATAATAATTAAATGAAAAACTAGCTATGACAAAAGTATATCATAAAGTAAAGCGGCAAAATTCGTTTAAAGCCTATGAGCATCACAATTTTTCTAAAGTTCGCTGTGAGCATATTCACTGTGTGATTCTTTATCCTTTGGTACAATAAATAAACCCTCTGCTGTTGTCCATCGGGTGCCGTGCTGCATACTGCTAAAACCGACAATCTCCATTTGCCCAGAAATTGGTCTTCCAAACGAACGTCCAGACATTCCCAAATAACTGCCTGTGTCTAAATGCCGCAAGCGTACATGAGCATCACGTACCCATTCATCATTGGGGCAAATTATTTCCCAATGATCACCGGTGTCACCCACACCATCATCGCCATAGGCTGATACTTCCTGTTCACCAGATAAGGGCGAGGGAAAATGATGGGAATGTAAATTCTTCTTGGTGGTTAAATGCTCTAGGCGTATAATGTCGCCACATTGTATGGGTTCGCCACGTTCACAATGCTTATTTGTTGGTGCCTTTATCACCCAATGACTGTTCACATCTTCTTTTAACTCAATTCCTGTCACCGATTGTTGGCCCGAACCAGAACCATATTTTACATCATGTGAATGCAAACGGGAACCATAATCTGAATTCAGTAGTTTTATTATTGAGCCGCATGTCACGAAATTGGTTTTACCCGCTGAAAGGAAGCCAAAAATGTTGCTATAGAATTGATAACAAAACAGCAACCGGAAAAGTACAACAAATATACACAACTAGTGGGCGGACTACCACCAATCACGGGCGACCACATCAAACTTACCAAAAGACACGGGAAATGTGCAAAGTATAAATGAAAGGATTATTTCTAACGACAAATTAAATTTATTCGGGTTCATTTTCTCTTATTTTTTACTTAAACTAATTATTTTGTTCAAATAAATACTCGTAATTCTCTGTAGATGAAAAACGATAAGTTTACACTTTGCAGGGAACTATTGACTTCTAATTGGCAAAATCGGCGACCGACACGCAAACAAATGTCAAATTAGATAACACAAATCTGGCTTGCGCAAACATTACATTGTTGCCAGAATTTAATTTACTAAAAATGAGTTTTATGTCTCGCTTTTACTTTATATGCAATTAATGGATTTTGTAATTTGTTTAAGCTGTGGAGAAAAAGCAGATCAAAATGCATAACATTATTGCGAACAATTAAATCGAAGCATTATTACATACATAAATTAACTTCAAAGTAACAAATATCAAAATTTCCTTTTCTAAATATTGTTTACATATAATGACTGCTCTGCTCGTTGCTCAGAATAAAATCTAAATATCTAAATCGTATATATCGTATATATTAAGTAAAAATTCTTAAACATTTTGTGACATATCTTTATTATAAATTTTCTCCGGCGTCGCCCTAATCAAACAAAGGATGTCAACATTTGTGAACATGATCATAGAAAACAGCTGACAGGAGAAAGGAAAGAAAAACACAAAATAGACATACATTTATGAAAATTTAACAAAATTTCGTATTTAATTTAATAAGCAAATGTTTCAACAAGAAAACATGGCTTGTAGTGCTACAGTATTAGGCATTTTATGCTTTTCCTTCAACGTTTTGGTGAGTGTTCAAAATTTTGCTTTGAAAGTTCGTAAAACAAGATATATTTGCAGTTGTCTACGGCAGATGTAACTCCRCAAAATACCACCAATCCAGTTAAGGTTGATAACAACAATATTCCTGCTGTGAAAAGCCCATTGAGCAGCACTTTAGCACCAAACATATTAAATTCCTTAGTACAAGCCACAAATTCAACGCCCAAATGGTACGTATTACAGTAATTTATTTGCGATTATTAACATCTACTTTTATTTATCATTTGCTTAGTGTGTGTGATGGAGCTTTGTTACCGCGTCTAAGTGAAAATGGTAAAGTGCTGGAAATCTGTCCGGAATGTAAATGTCAGCATGAAGCAAGGAATACAACACTTATTAAGGTAATGTGCAGCAGTTTTGTATACATACCATAAAGAAAGTGCCTACTTCAAAAGTCCTATTATTCATGTCATAGTGGCAAAAATTTACGCTTAACTTTAATTAAAGGTTAATAAAATAAGTAAAAATAATTACATTACCAGTAAACTGAGTTTGAAGAAATTTTTATTACAATTTTATAAAATATTAATTTTAATTTCAATAAAATATTTTTTTCGTATTCATATTTCTACTATTATAGAAAATTATCTTTTTATATTTGCAGCATACCTTGTTTTGCCAAGTTGCCATACTGAAAAGTAATTGGTATTATGAAACCTAGTAATAATACCGTTATTATGCATGCTGTTTGGGTATCACATATGCTGAAATATTTGGCCATTTTGCACGTGGGTGAGTTTTTACCTGAAAAAAATAGAAAAGTATATTAAATTTTAAATATTAAATNTATGTATTTTAATAATTATATTTATTAATATGAAACAACTATATTGCCCAATTATATTTGCGTGTACACAATATATTTCTCCCATATTAGACAGTTCAATGATCTTAGTTTCTAATTCTTTTAACAGGTCGTTGTCATAATCGTGATCTGGATTATATCCATACTTGTCATATATATGCTATTTCTAATTTGCTTGGATCCACTACTCAACAAGCGTGTGAAGGCGAATTATCAGGAGCACACAAACGAAGATGTACATACCAAATACTCCAACGTTCAATATAGTCTCTTAGTAGATGACAATAAAGATTCTGATTGATTATCTTTTAGTTTTCGTTTTCATGTTGTTTATATGTACATATTTTGTTGCACATATGTTTAATTTTACATAGCGTTTTGTTATTAACACACTAACGACACATACATACATACATTTTAATTTTAAAAAAATCTTCATTTCCGTTCCCAATAAGAGTTTGTATACCCAGTAGGCAATTAAGCACACACATACAAGTTCTACGAATTTATACTAACACAAAATTGTTACAATTTAATATTGATAGCTGCGAAAATTTTAACATCTATTCATTATTTCTCTTATTATTAGGATGAAGCAAGCGGTACTTCCCCTCCGTTGCCGACCGGCATGGCTAACCAAGAAATGAACTCACGCGCAAATGTTTTGAATCGTGTTGGTCATCAAACGGATAAGTGGAAGCGACAAGTGCGCGAACAACGCCGTCACATCTATGATCGACGTACGATGTTGAATTAAATTTGTAGCGTGTGTAGTGAGACTTCGCGTTTATTTTCTTTAATATTTTTGAATATATTATTTTTATTAAAAGATATATACATATATATATTATAATGAATGGGAATATCTTATAACTGCATATTTACATATCCATATATGTGTCGCCACTATCTACAGCCTGTCTCTTATACACATCTAGATGTGTATAAGAGACAGGATATATACATATATATATTATAATGAATGGGAATATCTTATAACTGCATATTTACATATCCATATATGTGTCGCCACTATCTACAGCCTGTCTCTTATACACATCTAGATGTGTATAAGAGACAGGATATATACATATATATATTATAATGAATGGGAATATCTTATAACTGCATATTTACATATCCATATATGTGTCGCCACTATCTACAGCTATCCACTTTTTTCAATGTGGCGACGATCTCATACGGGAAAGTACTTGTTTCAATATACTATTATTTCTTTTTCGTTTGACTAAGTACATTTTGTATAAACTCATGTATTAGCAGTAATCACTTTAAAATGTCGCATATGCCTACATACTTACGAATATTCAAACGAAATAACACATGAATGTATATGGTAGAATTAAAGGATTTTAGCGAAAATATACTATGTAAAACAAATTATTATTGGAACCAGAAAAAAACTTGAAACTAACACATTTTTCACCGAGTTACCAGAATATACAATTTAGGGGAAATTATGTAGATATGTAACAACCGTCAAATACGATTTGCAATGATAATAAAAGACTTCATATAAGCTCTTGATTCCGATCGAACAGTTTTAGTTTCAGAGAATGGGGATGTTCGAGTTTCAATAACAATGACAATATGGCAAGGCATCATATTCGACGCAGTATTGGTGCAGTTATTTGCTTGGTCGAACATTCCCGATATTTGGTCGATTGAAAATTTTGCCTTGCAAAAACTTGATTCTGTTTGTTCAGTATATATGACAGGAATAAGCTTTAAAAACAAACAACAAATAAGATGCAACTCCCTTCTGGACACTGCCTCGACGTACCAATCAATGTAGTTATATGGCTCGTGCAATTACCCCATTCATGTAACATCTCTCGTCTCCTGGTCCAACCTCGTCAAAACAGCATAATTCCTGAGCCTATCTTTAGGTGATTTCTATGCCAACCAATTCGAACCTCACCACCCCATCGGCGGCTACAAAGTTAATTGCTACAATAAATAAGGTGCTTATGTGTAAGGACTTGGAAAAAATTCGTTTGGTTTTCGTTGTAACCGCAGAAAACATTCCCGAAGTAATTAAGATGTCGTTGTTGTAACGGCAGAATTCTGCCGAGTTGACAGTCCTTGGCCGGATAAAAATCCGGGTCGTTTCCGGTTTTCGTAGACCCGACTCTCGTGGGAACGGGATAAATTCTGCCGGTTTAACAGTCTTTAGCCGGATGAGATTGACGTAGAGAATTTCCAATGTATATTTTAAAAACTGAGAGATCTACGTAAGCGGAACAACAACAAAATCTGCGATGTACACTTAATCCTTTTTAACCTTTCTCTCGTAAAAAATGTGATTTGATCTAGTAGGATATGCAAAAACTTAGTATGAGATATACAAATTCCAAACCTTTAATATCTATTAATATATAAAGCGATTTTTTAAAACATTATCTTTTATTTAGTATAAGCATATATTTGAAATTAATAGCCTTTAACCAAAGTTGCCAATTGCCAGTTCTGGTTAACTTCGAAGGGTCCTTGAACAATTGTACCTTGAGCGGTGGAAACTGCTACCGAGTATTTCGATATCGCACGACAATCACGATAGTACAACACTTCCATGCACTTGCGTAGCTATTAAACAACGATAATAAATATAATTAAAATTTTGGAAAATATTTATAAAGTAATATATATCGTACCACTTGTGAAGCTTCACTTTGCGTCAGTAACCTATCATTCGAGATTTGTTCACGCACTAATGGCAAAGCAAAATGTTTGCCAAAACCGGTGGCCACTACATCGTCTTCATAAGCACGTCCGCGCAGATCCACATGACCCAAGAAGGGCACACCATCCTGCATGCCCCCAACAACCATTTCTAGCCACAAAGGATTGACACGGCTGCGGCGATTGTACAGAATACGTGTTAGCCAATTGTACAGTGATTTAGGCTGCATTTCAATATCATCTTGATAACACATGTCCTCTACCATTTTCTGGTCTATACTTCTTTTCAGACTTTGAAAATCAGCGAAATCCCCTCCAGCACCAATGATTGTTTTTTCATTTATTTTGAAAACACGCTGTACATCTTGGTAACGTGCCAGAGAGCCATAAGAGACTAGGTTATCCGCAGCAATCATAACACCACCATCGAATTTAACTCCAATTACCGAGGTACCGGTAGTAATTGGTGACCTGCAATTGGCAATCAAATTAATTCCTGTAGCACAACTAAGTTATACATTTTTACTTACGACGAACGATTGGACCCATATAAACCAGGTGCTGTGATATTGCCGGCATTGATATCTTGGTTAGTGCCAGGAAAGTTATAAAATTGTCCAGGCACAGGTCCACCTTTCCATAATTCTGTTTGTATGAAGTTATTGTGTGAATACATTTTATATGATTTTTAAAGGAAAATTAATATTGCAAGCAAAAACGATGAAATGCAAATTGTAGACAATGACAACCAAATTATTGTTTGACAGTTGTTGTAGTTGCCACCCCAGGTGAAGTATTTAAAGAAAAATATAAATTTTCCAACACTATAATAGCACAACCATAGTTGCTACAAATTGTATGAAAACATATTGAATTGTGACCAATACCGATACGAGATCAAAATAGAAACAACGGTAAATTGCCGGAATTAACAAGTCAACGATATTCATAGTTGAAAGAATGTTCGAGAGGCAAAGTTTTGTTAACGACCTAGTATAGAAGGGCTGCCAGATATTGCAGCGTCAAGCTTTTCGTCTGGTATTGGTGAGGGTAGTGATACTAGCACCAGGAATGACATCTTCATGCTGTTGTTGTTGTTTTAACGGTTATCAATCCCCGTTGAGATGGTAAGGGTTATTCATGTTGTCGTCGACGTCATCTAGCGGGCGGCCCATGAAACGTGCTGTTTCTACGGGGTCGGGCCAAAGGGAAAAGGGTGTTAAGGGAGTAGGGTTGGCAGGGCATGCAAAGAGGTGTTCATTTTCATGCGGAGACCCCTTTGCATGCACGATATACATTGGATATGTCGGGGTCTATTCTGGATAAGTAGGAGTTTAACCTGCTACAATATCCAGAACGAAGCTGCGCTAGGGTGACTCATCTTTTTCGCGACGAGCTCTTCGTCTGCGATTGGTGGTGGTTTGACTTCAAGAACGCCATTCACGCGAAGGGAGTCGGTGAAGGTGTACTGTACGATGTTGGAGAAGAAGTCAAGGAAAGACATCTTGATGCTCCTAGGAGTGCAGTATTCTGACAAGTCTGGAGTTTCCTCATCTGCGTGCCACTGCATCCAGGCTACCATTTGGTGCTGCGTAGTTGAGGACGGGACGTCCGATTGCCTTGTATGTTTCCAACAACATTTCTTGATCTTTTCTCCATGTGCGGCCGGCTAGCGACTTGAGGATTTTGTTGCGGCTCTGTACCTTGACGCTTATAGCGGTCGTATGGGAAGTGAAGGAGCATAGACTATCAAAAGTTACACCTAAAATCTTAGGATTATTGACAGTCGGAATTTTGACGCCATCGACTGCAATATTAAGTTCAAGTCTATACTCCTTCGTTCAGTTCGTAAAAATGTGATTTGGTGGGAGAGAGTGTGAGGTTCCGTGAAGAAACGAGACAGGTCGGAGAGGTAGTTGTTTACTTTCGAACACATGCCACATCTGCGTACGAGGTTATGGAAACCACCTCTGGTGGCTGTGGGAGTTAGTTAGAAGTTAAATAGTAACGGGACACCACCCTGCGGAAACCCTTGTTTAATTCTCCTCAGTTTAGATGTTTCACCTCGAAATAGTACGGATGATTTTCGACCGCTCAGGTAGATCATGGACCACCTCTTCAGTCCTAGAGGAAGCGTAGTTTTCTCGATGTCTTTGCAGTAGCGTTGTGTGGTTGACTGTGTGAAAAGCTTTTGACAAGTATAACAGTACGGGAATCGTTCTCTCGCAGGGTGGTTTCTGGTTGAGGCCACGAACTATTTAAGAGTTTTTGACGCTAAGTGCTGTGGAGATGCTGTACACTTTTCGGAGGAGGGTTATCGGACGATAGGACTCCTCTTTGTTGGCGGGTTTCCGAGGTTTCAGTAGTGGAACCACTCTTCCGACTTTCCACAYATCGGGTATTTGAAGAGTGTTCAGCGACAGGTTGAGGACCTTGGTAAGTTGATTCCATCAATGCCAATGGGTTTAGATGATTTCGATTTGTTTTTTGAGATTGCACAGCCGTAGAGGCTAGTGACGCAGTATTGCGGAGGCAACATGGGGCCACGTAACTCGTGGTCCACTCCCTGTAAGTCTTAAGGTCTGAGCAGGTCTTAAGATGGCTCCATCTATTGCATGTGTTACACCTGACCGAAGTGGAGTTTGGATGGAGCCTTTTTGCGCAAACGCAGCAGAAAAATTCCTCCGGGCCCGGGTTGGACTCAATGCCAGCACGAGTCAGGAGAATACGGAGCAACCCTGCAAGGCATTGCTCCAGTGACGACAAACCAAGATTAACATTTACCGATCCAAACGGGGTTACATCGCCGAAAAAACAACCCTTCGTCGGATAAAATCCGAGTCAATTGCGATGCGTAGAACCAGCTGTCGGGGCAATGTTCATGCTCTTAGTAGACGGCTCATCTGGAGAGGTATAAATTGCGTTCCTTAACCGGAAGCATGCATTCTTGGCTATAAGATATTGTATTGAGGTCTGCATTCTTTCGTTCAGTTCGTGAAAATGATCGCATATAGAGAAGGGGCGAGTAAAATCGCTGATATAGCTTTTACTTTTGAATACATGTCATCAAATCCATTGTCATGATATTGACGTCAATGCCTGCAATCATCTGCGTTTGAGGTAAGGAAAA